TTGTTGTGGTGTTGCCGAAATACCGGAGCAGGGTCCCTAAGTGAAGCCTATACATTTCTGAAACAAAGTACATGGAAATACGTTCAGACTTTTTATGTAGTTGTGGCCGAGTGGTTAAGGTGATGGACTTGAAATCCATTGGGGTACAGGGAATAGCAATGGTGACAATCTTCCTCAATGAAACTTCATGTGCATTAATTGCTGTTCACAGTTGTTACATACCTGCATGAGAATTGAACAAATGGAATGCTTTTCATTCTGAGTAACCGGAATTTTCATATTTCATATTATTGCTGTTGCTGAAAGGTATCAAAGCTTTCAGAAAATCACATTAAAACTGAAATATATGTGAAACAATCGGGGTAACACCCAGAGATACATTGCAGCAGTCACAGAAGACAGTAAAGTCAAATACACAGATGAGACTGCCCCAACGAGAAGCACTTACGAATGTAATGCAAATCAAGTTGCTCCTATTTGAAGTAATCGAATTGTGATTTCTTTTGAAAGTATTGGATGTTGTCCAAACTGTTTAACGTTTAATACATTGTAAACAAAAATATAGTATCTTTAGTTGATTGAATCACCCAACATCACCCCAACAAATAGTACTTACCATTCAGGAAGGTCAGAGCCATTGATAGGATATCAACGGTGACAATAAGACAGATAGGTGGTCTACTTCTTTGCATCTTCTCCTGCCATGTTTACCATGACAAATGTAATCAGTGCATGCCTGCTTTCCTAGAAGTTGTCCACTGAGAGTTTACCAGTTGACCACTTTTTCATTCTGAGGGGCCTGAGTCAAGTGATGTTCATTGCAATGCTTGGAGTCTGATCGTAAATTGAGATGATTCACAGTCCAACCCACAGAAGCCAATGTGACAATAGAAGTGATGATGGCAGATCACTCCTTGTGAATGAACCAGGTCATTCACACGTTGACAGGCAGTTATCACGCTAGGTTGAGAGTAGGTACACAGCCAAATGATGCTCTCACTGATGTATTAAAAAGTATTGCTCTAAGAGATTTCAACACATGTTTCACTAAGCATATGTGCAAGAATTTTAATAGATATTTATAAAGAGAAACACTTTAGTTAGAATCTCAACAACAATGAATGTGATTATAGTTTCACACTCCACATTTGTGGTGTCCAAATTCACTGAAAGTTGCCCCAGCTTGTTAGCACTTACTTTAAAACTGCAGTAAATGTGCTACAATTAGGGTGACTTTCAGCCGAGAAACATCGCAGGACTCACACAAAGTAAGTAATGTCAAATACACAGCTGAGACTGCCCCAAAGAGTAGCACTTATTGATGAAATCAGTGCTTCTATTTCCTGTAATGTAATGGTGTTTAATTTGGACAGTATTGTCTGTCAAACTACGAATGAGAACTTGCATTAAACCTGCATTAAAAGTCTTCTTGATTCAAATCCAGACTGTGCACAGCAGATTGGCAGTCCATCAACTTAACCTATTGCTGACATAACTCACACTTATGAAATTACATGCCAGTCTGTGGAGTCTGTGGAGAATAAAGGAGGATGTGATGCACATTGTTTGCCATTGCAATTCTAGCTTTTCATGTTTCTCCACCCACACTTGTTCTGTCTCATGGATCTGTCCAGAGCCTGTCACCTGTAGGCCTTGTATGTGTGAGACAGACTGCACCCAAGCCAGAGGTTGTTGTAAAGTGGAGGCAAAACAACCTGTCTGCGATGAGGGTGGGACTCGAACCCACGCGTGCAGAGCACAATGGATTAGCAGTCCATCGCCTTAACCTCTCGGCCACCTCATCCGAAAGCCTTTTCCCAGATCCTCACAAATAAAAATTTTTGCCTAGCATGATACACTTTAACAAACATGTGTTGTGAAGGTCAGACTTTGACTGATCCCTGTTCCTCAAATCAGACATGGTACTCACTCACACCTGATTGTTATGCCATAGACTGAAAACACCTGACACTGATTTCCCCTTCAAACTAACAGCTCACGCTTATGCCCCAACTTGCTAGCACTTACTTTAAAACTGCAGTAAATGTGCTACAATTAGGGTGACTTTCAGACGAGAAACATCGCAGGACTCACACAAAGTAAGTAATGACAAATACACAGATGAGACTGCCCCAAAGAGTAGCACTTATTGATGAAATCAGTGCTTCTATTTCAAGTAATCTAATTGTGCTTTATTTGGAAAGTATTGGCTATACCCGAGCATGGTCCACGACACTGTAGCTTAAGTGTGTCAGGATGGCCGAGCGGTCTCAAGGCGCCGTGCGTCAGGTCGCAGTCTCCCCTGGAGGCGTGGGTTCAAATCCCATTTCTGACATTTGGTTCCTTTGCTGCACCTCTGATGAGGGGGTATTGGGCTGTTCCTGAGAGCTTGTTTAAATAAATGCCCCTGCATAGTTTGGAATTTCCTTTGCATAGTTTTTGGGTCTTTTAGTCAGGATGGTCGAGTGGTCTAAGGCGCTGTGTTAAGGTTTCAGTCTCTTCTGGAGGTGTGGGTTCAAATCCCACTTCTGACATGCTGCACTTTGTTGATAAGACTGTTCATAATGTAGTTGACATGCTGGGGTGCAGTTGAGTCGGGCAGGTGTGGTTAGTGTGAATGTGTGCTACCGGCAGGTGTTGGGTTTAGTTTGATTACCTGCCTTATTCATGTGCTTGTGTTTCCTGAGGGCGTGTCGCTCGTGATTGTGTTTATATATGTATGATTGTGTTTATACAACTTAAACACCGGTCTTACCACTAGACAAACCAAGAAACCAAGAAAATGGTGGCCTCTACACTGGTTATGCTGGCCAGTGTCTTCCATCAAAAGCTCATAGAAAATCACATGAGCATCAGCACAGGACCATGGAGCAGTAAGAAGGTGGCTTGGTCTGAGGAATCATGTTTTCTTTCACACCATGTACAGCTTAGGGTTATAATAATAATAATAATAATAATAATAATAATAAAACTTTATTGGGGTTAGAAATGGCTCGAAAAGGCTTGAAAAGACGCTTTGCCCAGGAGTTGCACTTAATCCTTGTCTTACGCTCAATTCCTGGTAAGGCTTGAAAAGACGCTTGGCCAAGGAGTTGCACTTAATCCTTGTCTTACGCTCCATTCCTGGTAAGGCTTGTAAAGACGCTTGGCCAAGGAGTTGCACTTAAGCCTTGTCTTACGCTCCATCCCTGGAAAGGCTTGTAAAGACGGTCCAATAGAATGGTTAGGCCCGCTGCTCAACCATTCACACTAAATGTAAGCTAACAACTAAACTGTATTATCTCTCTTAACATACTAGAAATGTATTAAATGGTAAAACAGGATATTTGCTGGAATTACTGACTGCTACCGCTGGTGAGTGGCGTAGCTCCTTTGAGTTAAATGTTTTGTAACTGTGTTTTACGTCAAGTATTAAATGATGTGTATTAACCGTTGCACCCTTGAGCAGTAAGAAGGTGGCTTGGTCTGAGGAATCACGTTTTCTTTCACATCATGTACAGCTTAGGGTTGGGGTTAGAAATGGCTTGGAAAAGGCTTGAAAAAGCCGCTTGGCGGGAGGTTGCACTTAAGCCCTGTCTTATGCTCCATTCCTGCTAAGGCTTGTAAAGACGGTCCAATAGAATGGTTAGGCCCGCCACTTAAGCCTTGTCCTTGCGCCCCATACCCGTGATGGCCAACAGAATATGGCACTGGACTTGAACTGCACTGGGGCTTTACCTGTGCAAGTTGAAGCCTGCTATGAACCTGAGTCTTAATGCAGAGAATCTTTATGAAGATGAGCAACAAAGCACCTTGGCATTCATCAAACAAGCTCGTGCCAAACACATCTTCCATCCTGGGAAATTGCATTGACGTAAAGGAAGTCAAACGAATCCTGCTTTGAGACAATGTCCACTGTAAAAAGCGCTACACAAATAAAATTGATTTGAACTGAATCGAATGTGTACATGTAAAGTTGTAAATGGTCTAGTTACTTAATTGAAGTAAATGTATTGAAGAAGGGCAGAAACATGAGAATATAAAGATGCACAAACACGTTTATTGGCTCCAGAAAAAATAGTCTAGTGTTTCCTTAAATCACTTTGCCGCTTTGCTTGTGAAGAGCAAAATTCGAATAGAAAATCGATCTCGTTTGCTAGCTCACTTATCCAAGATAACTATAAAATACTTTTTTATAAATAATTATATACTATTAGTAACCCATAATTAACTAAATGGTCGCGCCGCAGTATCTAAGCGACCTTTTGCTTTTCTATGATCCGCACGCCTACTTAGATCAAAAGATGCAGGCTATTTGTTCGCACCTCGAATAGCGAAGGCTACAACAGGAGGATGAGCTTTCTCTTCTGGAGCCCCACACTTATGGAACAGTCTTCCAATTAGAGTTCGGGACTCAGGCACAGTCTCAGTGTCTAAGCTTATCGTATTTGTTTAATCAAGCCTACCCTCACTAGACTTTCTCTTATGCTAAGCACAGTCCTAGTTTTTTTTCTCTCCCTCCCTCCTTCTGTCGAGCCACACCCGATTTTATGGAGATACTAGAGATCCTGATCCCCTCTGCTCTCTGGACCTACCTGATCCATTTTGGATGGCCTACCTCTGGATGGAGCTCTCATCTACTCCAATTCCAGATTGCTGGGACTACAGCTGCTTCTAAGGCCAAAGAGACTCCATATGAATCCATAATCATCTTTTTCACACTATCTGATGTTACCCAGATGAGGATAGGTTCCCTTCTGATTCTGGTTCCTCTCAAGGTTTGTTCCTCTTAACATCTTAGGGAGTTTTACCTTGCCACCGTCACCACTTAGTGGCTTGGTCAGTTGGGATAAATTCGCACCTTATATATCGATATACCGAATGGTTTTATAGATATACATGGATTGAGCTTCGCTTCCCCTCCGATAGCTCAGTTGGTAGAGCGGCTCTAAGGACGGATTTCTCTGTGTGATATGGTTTCTTTTTAAATGTTAATTTGGCCAGCGGTGGATAAAACACCATTCCCTGACCGGGAATCGAACCCGGGCGCGCGAGGAGCGCCAAATCCTTACCACTAGACAACCAGGGACGAACACCAAGAAAATGGTGGCCTCTACACTAGCTATGCTGGCCAGTTTCTTCCATCAAAAGCTCATAGAAACTGCACATGAGCATCAGCACAGGACAGTGGAGCAGTAAGAAGGTGGCTTGGTCTGAGGAATCACGTTTTCTTTCACATCATGTACAGCTTAGGGTTGGGGTTAGAAATGGCTTGAAAAGGCTTGAAAAGATGCTTGCGAGGAGTTGCACTTAAGCCCTGTCTTACGCTCCATTCCTGCTAAGGCTTGTAAAGACGGTCCAATAGAATGGTTAGGCCCCCCGCTCAACCATTCACACTAAATGTAAGCTAACGACTAAAGTGTATTATCTCTCTTAACATACTAGAAATGTATTTAATGGTAAACGGGATATTTCCTGGAATTCCTGACTGCTACCGCTGGTGAGTGGAGTAGCTCCTTTGAGTTAAATGTTTTGTAACTGTGTTTTTACGTCAAGTATTAAATGATGTGTAGTATTAACCGTTGCACCCTTGAACAGTAAGAAGGTGGCTTGGTTATGCCATAGACTGAAAACACCTGACACTGATTTCCCCTTCAAACTAACAGCTCACGCTTATGCCCCAACTTGCTAGCACTTACTTTAAAACTGCAGTAAATGTGCTACAAATAGGGTGACTTTCAGCCGAGAAACCTCGCGGGACTCACACAAAGTAAGTAATGTCAAATACACAGATGAGACTGCCCCAAAGAGTAGCACTTATTGATGAAATCAGTGCTTCTATTTCAAGTAATGTAATGGTGTTTTATTTGGAAAGTATTGGTTATAACCGAGCATGGTCCACGACGCTGTAGCTTATGTGTGTCAGGATGGCACTGTGCATAGAAAGAACCAACTCCACTGCTTTGTTGCCGAAATACCTGAGCAGGGTCCCTAAGTGAAGCCTATACTTTTCTCAAACAAATTGCATGGGAATACGTTCAGACATTGGTCGACGATGAAGCAAGGCTGTTTTATGTAGTTGTGGCCGGTGGTTAAGGCGATGGACTAGAAATCCATTGGGGTCTCCCCCCGAGGTTCGACTCCTGCCAACTACGTCTGAAGTTTGGTTTGCCTTTCAGACAGGCCAGTACTTGGCTAGCATTAGTGACAATCTTCCTCACTGTGCATTAATTGCTGTTCACAGTTGTTACATACCTGCTACTGAGAATTTGCCAATTGAACAAATGCAATGCTTTTCATTCTGAGTCCGGTGTCATTCCAATGAATGTTCAGGATCTGCCCAGCATCAAAATGGAAAGGGACAATAGCTCTGATGATAGTTCATGTGAAGAAAAAAACAAACAAACACACAGTTGGCAGAATAAATTTCACCAAATTCACTGGGAACAGTTCAACTTAATCTGTATGAAGTGAAAAAATGTCACCGTTTCAACATTTCATATAATTGCTGTCACTGAAAGGTATCAAGGCTTTCAGAAAATCACATTAAAACTGAAGTATATGTGATACAATTGGGGTAACATCCAGAGATACATTGCAGCAGTCACAGAAGACAGTAATTTCATATTATTGCTGTCACTGAAAGGTATCAAGGCTTTCAGAAAATCACATTAAAACTGAAGTATATGTGATACAATTGGGGTAACATCCAGAGATACATTGCAGCAGTCACAGAAGACAGTAAAGTCAAATACACAGATGAGACTGCCCCAACGGAAGCACTGACAATGTAATGCAAATCAAGTTGCTCCTATTTGAAGTAATCGAATTGTGATTTCTTTTGAAAGTATTGGATGTTGTCCAAACTGTTTAACGTTTAATACATTGTAAACAAAAATATAGTATCTTTAGTTGATTGAATCACCCAACATCACCCCAACAAATAGTACTTACCATTCAGGAAGGTCAGAGCCATTGATAGGATATCAACGGTGACAATAAGACAGATAGGTGGTCTACTTCTTTGCATCTTCTCCTGCCATGTTTACCATGACAAATGTAATCAGTGCATGCCTGCTTTCCTAGAAGTTGTCCACTGAGAGTTTACCAGTTGACCACTTTTTCATTCTGAGGGGCCTGAGTCAAGTGATGTTCATTGCAATGCTTGGAGTCTGATCGTAAATTGAGATGATTCACAGTCCAACCCACAGAAGCCAATGTGACAATAGAAGTGATGATGGCAGATCACTCCTTGTGAATGAACCAGGTCATTCACACGTTGACAGGCAGTTATCACGCTAGGTTGAGAGTAGGTACACAGCCAAATGATGCTCTCACTGATGTATTAAAAAGTATTGCTCTAAGAGATTTCAACACATGTTTCACTAAGCATATGTGCAAGAATTTTAATAGATATTTATAAAGAGAAACACTTTAGTTAGAATCTCAACAACAATGAATGTGATTATAGTTTCACACTCCACATTTGTGGTGTCCAAATTCACTGAAAGTTGCCCCAGCTTGTTAGCACTTACTTTAAAACTGCAGTAAATGTGCTACAATTAGGGTGACTTTCAGCCGCGAAACATCGCAGGACTCACACAAAGTAAGTAATGTCAAATACACAGCTGAGACTGCCCCAAAGAGTAGCACTTATTGATGAAATCAGTGCTTCTATTTCCTGTAATGTAATGGTGTTTTATTTGGACAGTATTGTCTGTCAAACTACGAATGAGAACTTGCATTAAACCTGCATTAAAAGTCTTCTTGATTCAAATCCAGACTGTGCACAGCAGATTGGCAGTCCATCAACTACCTATTGCTGACATAACTCACACCTATGAAATTACATGCCAGTCTGTGGAGTCTGTGGAGAATAAAGGAGGATGTGATGCACATTGTTTGCCATTGCAATTCTAGCTTTTCATGTTTCTCCACCCACACTTGTTCTGTCTCATGGATCTGTCCAGAGCCTGTCACCTGTAGGCCTTGTATGTGTGAGACAGACTGCACCCCAAGCCAGAGGTTGTTGTAAAGTGGAGGCAAAACAACCTGTCTGCGATGAGGGTGGGACTCCAACCGCAGCGTGCCAGAGCACAATGGATTAGCAGTCCATCGCCTTAACCTCTCGGCCACCTCATCCGAAAGCCTTTTCCCAGATCCTCACAAATAAAATTTTTGCCTAGCATGATACACTTTAACAAACATGTGTTGTGAAGGTCAGACTTTGACTGATCCCTGTTCCTCAAATCAGACATGGTACTCACTCACACCTGATTGTTATGCCATAGACTGAAAACACCTGACACTGATTTCCCCTTCAAACTAACAGCTCACGCTTATGCCCCAACTTGCTAGCACTTACTTTAAAACTGCAGTAAATGTGCTACAATTAGGGTGACTTTCAGCCGAGAAACATCGGGGACTCACACAAAGTAAGTAATGACAAATACACAGATGAGACTGCCCCAAAGAGTAGCACTTATTGATGAAATCAGTGCTTCTATTTCAAGTAATCTAATTGTGCTTTATTTGGAAAGTATTGGCTATACCCGAGCATGGTCCACGACACTGTAGCTTAAGTGTGTCAGGATGGCCGAGCGGTCTAAGGCGCTGCGTTCAGGTCGCAGTCTCCCCTGGAGGCGTGGGTTCAAATCCCATTTCTGACATTTGGTTCCTTTGCTGCACCTCTGATGAGGGGGTATTGGGCTGTTCCTGAGAGCTTGTTTAAATAAATGCCCCTGCATAGTTTGGAATTTCCTTTGCATAGTTTTTGGGTCTTTTAGTCAGGATGGTCGAGTGGTCTAAGGCGCTGTGTTAAGGTTTCAGTCTCTTCTGGAGGTGTGGGTTCAAATCCCACTTCTGACATGCTGCACTTTGTTGATAAGACTGTTCATAATGTAGTTGACATGCTGGGGTGCAGTTGAGTCGGGCAGGTGTGGTTAGTGTGAATGTGATCTCACGGCAGGTGTTGGGTTTAGTTTGATTACCTGCCTTATTCATGTGCTTGTGTTTCCTGAGGGCGTCGCTCGTGATTGTGTTTATATATGTATGATTGTGTTTATACAACTTAAACACCGGTCTTACCACTAGACAACCAGGGATGAAAACCAAGAAAATGGTGGCCTCTACACTGGTTATGCTGGCCAGTGTCTTCCATCAAAAGCTCATAGAAAATCACATGAGCATCAGCACAGGACCATGGAGCAGTAAGAAGGTGGCTTGGTCTGAGGAATCATGTTTTCTTTCACACCATGTACAGCTTAGGGTTATAATAATAATAATAATAATAATAATAATAATAATAAACTTTATTGGGGTTAGAAAAGGCTTGAAAAGACGCTTTGCCCAGGAGTTGCACTTAATCCTTGTCTTACGCTCAATTCCTGGTAAGGCTTGAAAAGACGCTTGGCCAAGGAGTTGCACTTAATCCTTGTCTTACGCTCCATTCCTGGTAAGGCTTGTAAAGACGCTTGGCCAAGGAGTTGCACTTAAGCCTTGTCTTACGCTCCATCCCTGGAAAGGCTTGTAAAGACGGTCCAATAGAATGGTTAGGCCCGCTGCTCAACCATTCACACTAAATGTAAGCTAACAACTAAACTGTATTATCTCTCTTAACATACTAGAAATGTATTAAATGGTAAAACAGGATATTTGCTGGAATTACTGACTGCTACCGCTGGTGAGTGGCGTAGCTCCTTTGAGTTAAATGTTTTGTAACTGTGTTTTACGTCAAGTATTAAATGATGTGTATTAACCGTTGCACCCTTGAGCAGTAAGAAGGTGGCTTGGTCTGAGGAATCACGCTGTAGAGCGGCTCTAAGGACGGATTTCTCTGTGTGATATGGTTTCTTTTTAAATGTTAATTTGGCCAGCGGTGGATAAAACACCATTCCCTGACCGGGAATCGAACCCGGGCCGCGGCGGTGAGAGCGCCAAATCCTTACCACTAGACAACCAGGGACGAAAACCAAGAAAATGGTGGCCTCTACACTAGCTATGCTGGCCAGTTTCTTCCATCAAAAGCTCATAGAAACTGCACATGAGCATCAGCACAGGACAGTGGAGCAGTAAGAAGGTGGCTTGGTC